TCGTCAGTTGTTGTGGGACGGATTTGATGGCTTCTGTTCTTCTCAAACCTCCGGGAGAAATGGGAGCCGATGTTGTTTTGGGATCTGCCCAACGCTTTGGTGCCCCACTAGGGTTTGGGGGCCTCACGCCGCATTTTTTGCTGTCAAGGAGGAATTTAAGCGATTGATTCCGGGTCGCGTCAATGGTATAAAAGTAAAGACTCGACGGGCTGTCCGGCCATACGCATGGCGCTTCAGACGCGGGAGCAACGTATTAAGAAGGAACGCGCCACACCCAATATTTGTACTTCACAAGCTCTCCTAGCAAATGTTGCGGCATTTTATGCCATTTATCACGGCTCTGAGGGCTTGAAGGAAATTGCGAGCGAAATGCACAGTAAAGCCAAAATAATTTCTGTTGGTTTAGAGTCTGTAGGGCATACAGTGGTCAATGGTACATTTTTTGATACCATCACCGTAAATTTAAAAGGTATAACGCCTGAAGACCACGTGAGATGCTGCGTGTAAAAAGGCATTAATATTTTTGTTGATTATAGTCATGGCACCGTCTCTATATCGGTGGATGAGGCCACTACCGAGGGCCATGTAGTGTCTCTCTTGGAGGCAGCAGGGCCAAAACTTCCTGTGATAAGTGTCCTTTCAAAACTCGCAGAACAAAAGAGAGCAATGCCTTTGCAAATGTTACGAAAATCTGTCTTCCTTGGGCGTTCAATCTTTCAAAAGTACAAAAGTGAGAGTGAGCTTATGCGGTACATTCACCGTCTTCATAGAAAAGATTATGGTCTCACGCATGGTTGTGTGCCCTTGGGTTCTTGTACCGTGAAACTTAATCCAGCTGCCGCCATGTTGTCCTTGTCGTGGTCAGAATTTACCAACCTTCGCCCTCTTGCACCGACGGAGCAAACGCGAGGATATAGTGCGTTGTGTTTAGATCTGGAGCAGAAAATAAGGGATATTACCGCTTTAGATGCCGTGTCACTTCAGCCAAATAGTGGTGCTCCGGGTGAATATGCTGGTCTTCGTGTGGTCCGCTCGTATCATAATTCAAAAAAGGAGAGCCATCGAAATGTTTGCTTGATTCCAGAAAGTGCTCATGGCACAAATTTTGCTTCGGCTCTCTTGGCAGGGACGGTGATTGTAAAGATAAAGTGTTTGGCGGATGGAAGGATTGACATGTAGGATTTGGAAAATTCTTGCCAAAAGCATACAAAAGAATCTCTCGTGCATTATGAAGACGTATCCGGGTACGTATGGTTTGTTTGACAGGGAAATCTTGGCCATTACTTCGATGGTGCACTACGATGGAGGGCAATGTTATATTGATGGTGCAAACATGAATGCCATGGTGGGTTACACAGCACCTGGATGTATTGGGGGCGATGTGTGCCAGATTAATCTCCACAAAACGTTTTCATTTCCTCATGGTGGTGGTGGGCCAGGCATGGGTCCTATTGCTGTTCGTCAGCACCTGGTTTCATTCTTGCCAGATTCTGTTTTTTTATTCAAAACGTTGGTGGTTCCCAGCCTTTTGGTCAAGTCTCTCAAGCAGCATACGGATCGGCGTCTATTCTTCCAGTTTCTTATTTATTAATGTGGATGCTTGGTTCACGGGGTCTCAAGACATGCACGGAGTATGCGATTTTAAATGCCAACTATTTAAAGAAGCGTCCTGACGGCCACTACCCAGTTCTCTTTCTAGGGGAAAACAATTTCTGCGCTCACGAGTTTATCATAGATTTAAGACCATTTAAAAAAACAGCACAAATTGAAGCAGAAGATGTGGCGAAACGACTCATGGTTTATGGCCTTCACTCACCTACCCTGGCATTTCCTGTTGCGGGAACACTCATGATTGAACCCACAGAGTCAGAGCCAAAGCGGGAGTTGGATCGTTTGGCCGATGCAATTATTTCCATTCGTACCGAAATTGCATCCATAGAGGAGGGTGAAGAGAGCACAACGAACAACTTTCTTAAGAATGCCCCGCACACGGCAAAGTGTGCCACATCAGATGATTGGGACAGACCATACACCCGGAAAACTGCTGCATTCCCTTCGAGCCATTCACACACCGAAAAGTTTTGGCCTTCAGTTGGCCGCATCGATGGAAGCTATGGGGACAGAAACTTGATGTGCAGTTGTGCATCGAATAGTTTTTGTGAGTAAAACTGTTGCAATGGGAGACAGTATTTTTTATTTATTACCAATTTTATATTTTTATTTGTTTCTGCATCCGTTTCTTGGGTGATGGAGTGTTTTGGGCCTATTTGTGTCTGGTGTGATAAAACTGAACAGGGGGAGAGGGATATGATTGTGTGTGAGTGTGTGTTTGTTTGTGTGGTCGCAGAATGATTTTATGGTCTTATTCTTTATCCTGTCAAGTGCTCTTCTTTAGGATGTACAATAATTCCAATGCGAAGATGCTTTGCCCTTGCAATCGTCTGGATTTTTCTGCTCATTATTCCCTTTTTTAATACTGTTGTTGATTTGTGAAGGTAAAGCTTTACTGCAACCATACAAATGCATGTTTGTGGGATTTTTTTTTTTGTCGGGCCAAAGGTGAGGGGAACTCAGGCGTCTGCCTTTCCCTCACTGTCGTCAAGAATATTTCCGGATACTCATCACGCAAACGTCTCAGATGTAATTTTTTCCTCAGTTTTGAATAATGTCTTGCACTTCGACAACCTCCAGCTTTGAGATAAATGGGGGTTACGATGAGAAGGAAATTGTCTACACACTTTTTTTTTTTTTGGTGTATCTTTTAGTTTTTATTTTCTCTTGTTGCGGTTAGAAAACATTGAACGAGAGGGTTTGCTGCCCTTTTGTTTTATTTGTCCTCTCTGCCGGACGACCAGTTGTACGCTGAAGTGCTCCTTGGCACCTCAGTTGGGACTGGCGGGTTTGCTCACAGTTGTCGGTGTCAATCGCATGCGCCAACTTTCCGTTGCTTTTTTGCATTGACGCAATTATTTTTATTTATTTATTAACTGAAGCCATTCTGTCCGGCGTGCCACTTTGATTGGATTGTGTGGGATTGCCCGCCAACACCATCAAACAAAACAGGCTGAAGAGTTTACTTATTTAAAAGTCATCTTGCGCGCACGTATTTTTTTACGTTATGTTGGTGTGCACTCAAACAGCGAGGTGTCCGGAACTATGCGTGCGTGGAATTCTTCCCGCCATGTGGACTGCGGGCAACACTGCGGGGCTGTCACTTTACTCCGCAGAGTTGTTGTGTCTCTTCGCAGGGTTGGCAGGGAAACTCCGTGCCTTCTGCTACTGCTGGTGTGTCCCCAAATGTTGTCACTCCATGCGAAGAATGTGCTTCAGCGAGTGAGGGGGATTGTTGGGTTTGTGTGCACTCTGGTTCTGTTTGCTACTTTGTGCGGGCACGCAACACTTGAGTGGTGGTAAAATGGAGCGGGGCGATGCATGGCTGCGTCTCGCCCATCGTTCACTGCACGATGGTGTGGTGCACATTGTGGTGTTTCCTCTGCGACGTGACTGCGGTCTCCTGTGCTGCAATGCTGGTGGGTGGAGGAGAGTGTTGACCCGCGGCGGGACGGTGGGATCGTGCCTCCTTTTCTCTTTGTTTTTTCTTTTTTGTGAATGTGTGCACTTATTTTTGGTGTCGGTGATGGGCCAAACCGACACACAACGTGAATAAAACAAAATAAAAAAGGGCGATAATGTGGTGGTGTTGTGGTCGATCACACGTCGCATCGCTGCGGAGGCGGTGGGCCTTGACTGCTTCACCGACGGGCGTTGCAGTGTGGCTGCATGGCGCACCGACCGTCCCGCCGTGCGAGTGCCACGCCCAACGCCATTGGGACTGCGAGACGAAACAGCCGCGAGTGTCCTTTGGAGCCAGCGGCACCTGCTGGCCGCAGTTGGGCGGTGCGAGTGGGACGCTTCACCACACGGGTGTTGTGATGGCGCCTTGCAGTAGCTCCAGTGTTGTTTCCGACGCTGCAGCTCGCAGAGGAGTGGCGGAAACGCGGCGAACAAATTGGACTATTGACAGTTGGCGGCATAAAGTACTGCTGGAGGGAAAGGAACGCATCAGCAAAATTAGGCTGAATGACTTCCTTCGGAATTATTTTGACGGCAGGGGCGTCGTGGAATTCTATAGGAGGCCTATATGTGGGGGTTTTTCTATTAGCTCCACGAAGTTCATCCACGAAGAAGTGCTATTGAGCACAATAAAGGCATCGCCGCCATACCAAGAGATTTAAAAAGAGCGTGAGGATATGCACGTGCTATTGGAGGCTTCAAATAAGCTTGGAGACGAAAGTATTATCACTCTCAGGCAATGGAGGGACTTTGAAGAAGGTATACGGTCATTCCTCTTGCAAGGGCACGGATAACCACAGCCTGCTCCTATGTACTGAGAGTAAAGAGGCAGGAGGAGGAAGAAAGGGCAAGGCAAGAACGACAAGAACTGGGAATTACCGTTTCCTCTGCGTACTGATGATGCGGTGTTTAAAGGAAGGGTTTGCGTGAATAAAATGAAGCTGAATGAATTTCTTACGATGGAACTGGACGGCAGAGGGCGTTGTGGCCACCAATCGGGATGTCTTGCTGGAGGAGCTTTTAAAGGACTTCAAGAAGTATATCTGCGATGCGGGAGTATTGTGCGAAATACAGGCATCAAATCATTACAAGAGGATGGAGAGGGCTGTACGGGATGAATTGAATATGGAAGAGGATTTAAGCAGGCTTTACAAAAATGCTGTGCACGATCTACTGAGGTGTTTGGTGGCTACTGCATTGTTTTGTTTCTCGTGTGTTGGTTGCGTTGGCTTTATTTTATGCTGGAATGTACTTATTTTTTTGTGTTGCGCCACTGAGCTCAATATGTAGTCCACACTGTGTGGATAATTCTTTTTCTGCGTCTTCCAGTCATTTCCGTGCGTATTTTCTTTCTTCCTTATTCCCCTTTTGATTGGTCGTTAGTGTTCAGCTTTAACTCAATCCAACTAATAAAACAAGGAGAAACAATGTCTGGAAGGCCCGAGGAAGGACATTACGGTAATGAGGAAAGCCAATCGCCTACTGTGCCACGACAAGATCGGAGGAGATTGAGGCTGGAGTCCAATAGTGACACAGATCAGCCCGCTGCGACTCGCAGAGGAGCGGAGGAAAGGCAGCGACCGCAGTTGACCATGAGCAGCAGCGTGGAGGACATACTGCTGGAGGGAAGCACTCTCAGGAACAAAATGAAGCTGAATGAATTCCTTCGGAGCAACTTGGGCGGCATGGCGGCTGTTGATGAAGAACACAACGTGACGATGGAGGCGTTTGTTCAGGATCCCGAGACGTTTATCCAAAACAAAAGGTTGTTACGCACAATAACGGCATTGCCGTCATACAGCGAACTAGAAAGAGAGATGAAAAGAGAGCTGGATGAGAGGAAAATACTATTGGAGGCCATTTATAAGCTTAATCGCGGTGGTGTGCTCTCTCTCGAGCAATGGAGGGACTATGAAGGAAAGGATACGGTCACTCCTCTTCCAAAAGCAAAACTAAACAGAGTTCTCACTCAGCTACTGAGAGAAGGAAACCGGGAGGCGGAAGAAAGGGGAATGCGTGAGGAAGAAGAAAGGCAAAGACGAGCGCAAGAAATGGAATTTACCATTTCCACTACGATCGAAGATGTACTGTTTAAAGGAAGAGTCCGCGTCAAGGACACAAAGCTGAATGATTTTCTTACGATGGAATTTGGCGGAAAGGGCATTGTGGCTACCAATCGGGATGTTTTGCTGAAGGAGTTTTTTAAGGAACCGGCGAGGTATATCCATGATGCGAGAGTACTGGACGAAATACGGGCAACAGATCGTTATTTGAAGATGGGGAGGGCTGTAATGGATGAAGTGAATATGGAAGAAGATGTACGCATGCTTCACGAGAATGGTGTGTTCTCTCTCGAGCAATGGAGGGAATATGAAGGAAAGGATACGGTCACTTCTCTTGCAAAGGGAAAACTAAACGCTGCCCTTTCTCGGGCGCAGATATCAACGTCCGTGGTTAAATCAACGGTGCTGAAGGGATATTACGAGTCTGTGTACAATGCGGGGTGGAGCCATGTGGTGGAAGTTCCTGACGGCGATGAGGAAGAGGAAACAGAAATGGGAATGGAGGTGAGGAAGGGGAAACCAGAACAGTCATGGACTTACAAGAAAGTTGGCGAAACTCTCGAAAGGAATGACAGTGTGCAGCAATCCGGTGAAGCACGTCTCAGGCTGATGGTGCTCACTTCGGACAAGGGATGGCCATACTCGTGGGAAGAGGATGAATTCATTCGTGACTGCTCTGTGAACTGTGAGGTGGAGCGAGCGTGGCAGATTGTCAAGGGCGATCTCACCGAATGGTTCAGCCCTCGCGGTGAGAACAAATTGACGCCTGGGCGGCATCTGGTAATTGGGACGCCCGGGATCGGGAAGTCGATGAATGCCGGTTCGTACCTCCTGTATCAGCTGCTGCACTACGATGCCAAGAAACTCCCTGTGGTTCTGTACGTTATTGGAAATGGAACATTCTTGTTTGAAAAGACCACCCAAACGGTGACAAAATACGTGGGTGGGGCCAGTATTGACGATGTTCTTGATTTCCTCTCTGACCGTGGGGTGAATGCGTATATTATCTACGACGTGGCAAAAGAGGGCCGTAAACCGTATCCGATTTCTAATTCTCGCAAATGGGGCATGATTGTGGTGACATCGCCAAACCCGGACAACTTTGGCGCATGGGAGAAATACAAGTCACCGAAGCGAATCATAATGAATTGTCCTGAAAAAGACGATGTGAAGGCGATGTGCGTTTGGATGAAGCGCAATGATTCAGGTGAGCAAGCTGAGTACTGGAATGTGGTGAATGGTCGAGTGGATAAAGTGGGACCACTTCTCCGCTACATCTTTGATGACACCAAATACAATAATCGGAATGACTTGTGCGAAGATACTGTTAATAGCCTGAGCCGCATCGAAGCCGAATATTACCTTCACTTCGGAACTGGGAAAATGTTGGGTGGTAACAACGTTTCCCACAAGCTTGTGAGGATCGTCCGAGTACGAGGAGGAAAAAATTGTGAATTGACCTTTAATGGACTGATGTCTCCTTATCTCGGAAATTTAACTTTATGCAAATTGGCGGAGTTAATGATGCCGAATGATTTTATTTTACTCGTATTGGCTATCAAGGACGATCTCTTATCAAAAGTCCTTGAAAAGTATTCCGTGTTTACGTTTTTGAGCGAGGCCTTTGTAAGTGCAATAATACCGAAACTCAGGGAGCTGAAACTAACAGAAAATGCTCCACCACATCTCTGTGCGCTGAGAGAGCATCCACATGAGCGCCCTCTCAAGCCCTCTCTTTTACCGTTACTGGAAAATTTCGAGAAGAAGATTAATATAGAGTGTCGGGTGTTGTACAAGCCGGAGGCTCAAAACTTTCCGCTGTTGGACGCCTTTTTCTTCGTGAACTCAAATCCGAAGACGCTGGTTGGGCTGCAGATTACTACGGCGGGTGAGCATCACACCATACCCAGCACCGTGAATCTGTTCAATGAGCGTATGGCGGAATATTTTAATGGCTGGGAGCAATTTTCTGAGGGATTGTCGTGGGATATTATTTATGTGCAGCACGCAGACACCACGCCGCTAACTGGCTGGCAGAGATGTGGTCCCGTCAATCCCAATAATTTGACCCCCGCTGAAGAAGAGATTGTGTCGTTCTGGAACGAAAAGGTGCACCAGTACCAAGTTTCTGTATCATCCAGAGACTTTAGAAGAGACGAAGCACCCCGAAGTGTGGAAGAACAACAACAACAGGGAACAGATTAGGAAATGAAAAGTGAAAGAGACATTTTGATTTGTGGTAAAATTTTTTTTTTTTGAAATATATATATATAGACACTTGTGTGTGCATACGGTGCAGGTGCACCAGCATCAGGCGGCAGCACAGCACAAAAGTGTTAAGAATGTTCAACGCGAGTGGTAATAGCAGTGACAGAAGAAATTAAGTGGGGAAAGGGAAATTATATTTCTGGTGAAAAAAATATTTCGAGTTGTTTAATACATGTGAATGTTTGTTTTTTTATACGGCACCGGTGCATCATCCCCTTTGGGAGTAAGGCGCACAGATGCCAAAAAATTACAACGCGATATTTCTTTACAACGACAGAAAAACAAATCAGGGATGCCAGAGGCATTTTAATTAATGGTAAGAAAATATTGAAGAATTTATATTTATGTGAATGCTTTTTCGTTTGTATACAAGACGTAATGAGAGAATTGCTCTGTTATTAAGGAATTACTGTCTTTAGCTGTATCGTAATGTTAATACATTTTCCTTTTCATTCTATTTTGTTTTAGGACCGATCATTAAGAGAAACATCTTAAAGGGATGGACGAAGGGTAGGTTCTATTGGGGAAACAATGCACTCCGTGTGACCGCATGGAGTGAGGCGTCGCGTCGTGGATGGGTGAGGATCCGCTTCCGCGTGTGGCTCTTTGAGAGTTCACTTCGTGTGCGCTGTGTGTCGGTTCCGGGCTGTGGCTGTATCCCGTTGGCCGTTGGATTGAACTGGAGGCGGTGGCGGTGTGTCTCTTCTCGTTCTTGTCTATTGGTGGATGATTGCTGGCGGTGTGTGCGTTTGTTGAGGCCGTCTTGCAGTTTATGCACGCAGTGAGCCACAACTGCTGTGAAGCGCCGCGTCTTGTCAGTGTGGACTTATTGACTTTAAGCAGTGTGGTTGACCATGTTTTTCGTTATGTGCATGAGTGCCTTGCGTGTTTTACCGGAGCGTTGGGTGCGACCATCTGCCATGGCCAATTTGTATGGTTGAGCGTGCGTGCGGGTTAGGGTTAGGGTTAGGGTTAGGGTTAGGGTTAGGGTTAGGGTTAGGGTTAGGGTTAGGGTTAGGGTTAGGGTTAGGGTTAGGGTTAGGGTTAGGGTTAGGGTTTGGGTTAGGGTTAGGGTTAGGGTTAGGGTTAGGGTTAGGGTTAGGGTTAGGGTTAGGGTTAGGGTTAGGGTTAGGGTTAGGGTTAGGGTTAGGGTTAGGGTTAGGGTTAGGGTTAGGGTTAGGGTTAGGGTTAGGGTTAGGGTTAGGGTTAGGGTTAGGGTTAGGGTTAG